CCCATAGCCTCTTTGATTAAAGCGTGTGATAAATCAAAAATGAATTGCTGTCTTAATATGTCCTAACACAAGTACCATCACCACAACATTAAAATTGTTCTTTGATATTCTTTGCTGCAAACATATTAACAGAAGAACCACAATGACACATCCACACTATTGTTTCAAAGAGAATTATTTTCCGTGACTTTCGGTGAAGCTGCGAACATGAAGCAGACAATGCACGCACACAAGGAATCACCATCACATCACGAGCGTGAACAAAAGAGGGAGATGCATGTCGCTGGAGTTTCACATAAACACCAAATTACCGCATGAAAAACACAATTGTCGAGGTGATGCCATTTTATCACATGCTAGTCAAATGAGAACGCCGGAGTTTGGTGGAAAAGGCTCATCGGCTTGAAAACTGTGCTGCTATCAACCTTTTGTTGCCTTATTCAGTCTAGAACTTTATTTATCTCCCACTGACCCCGTTGGCACATCACACCAGATTTAATCCTCGAATATAGCAACTTTTGTGCAGCATATTGTTTAAAAAAAATTCAAGAAAATCTCCGTCTCAGATTCCAAATTGGCAGAACAAAGCTGAGTCAAACTATGAATAGAAATCTTAAAAGCTGAAGTGAATTCCACACTTGGCGACTTCCTCCTCATAGTTGAGGTTCTCGAGGGTGTAAACCCCAACATAGGCAATATTTTGGTGCAACCTCAGGAAACTGTGTCATGGAGTTGGTTGGGAAGTTTCTAAACAAAACAGAGAGAGGTCAGCAGCAGGCTGGCGAAACAAACACCACAGCAATGTGAGTGTGTTAGTAGATGTTATCATTTGCTTGCTTTTGTGTCTCTGATTCAGATACTGTTATGAACTGTCGTCTACAGCAGCACTGGGAGACGTATCTTGTATAGAAATGCACAAATTGGTGGGTATTATGTTTCAATGTACAGCCTTTTAAACAAGCTCATTCCCATTACAATATTCTTTTATACTTTTATTGCTTGTTAACAATAAATCATGCTTAGTAAATTTGGCGTTTTTGACCAAAAAAATTACAAAAAAAGACTCTTTGACATCAAAGTGAAAACAGATTTTTACAAAGTATTGTGAATTATTTAAAAATATATAGAATATAAAATAAATGATTACATAACTTTTCCCTCCCCAGCCTGGAAGGTACAGTCACTGGTGAATCAGTGCTCCTGTCTATAGCTACACCAGTGGCTTGGAAACTTGACTTTTGCTTTTCAATAAGCTTTTCACAAAGTTGCTTGGAGTGTTTTGTTTTGGGTTTTTTTTGTCTTCTTGTTGTAGTTATAGTCAGGAGTACTGATTCACCAGTGACTAGACCTTCCAGATACAAGGGTCTTTACACTACAACAAGTGAGACAAACAGATCATCTCCTTTTTACTGACTGTGTGACTTCTTGCACCAGTTGGCTTTACTTGTGTTGAATTAGTTTAACTACCTTAAAGAAGGTGAATACTTGTGAAATCACTCATTTTATGTTTTTAAGGAGTTGACATTACAATACATTAAAGAAATCTGTTTTCACTTTGACCCGAAGGAGTCTTTTCTTTGGTCAATTCTTGTCAAAAAAGCCAAATTAAATGCATCATATTTTGATCACATCATTCATTGTTGAAAAGCAATAAAAAGTTCAAATCTTCCAAGCTCACACCCCATGGAAACAGTACTCCACAACAGGACAATGAGTCTTGTGAAACCATAAAAACTGCACAGAAACAGCTTGAGGAACATGACAAAGAGCCCATAGCATTAACTTGGCCTCAGAACCCCTCGGATGCCGATCTGATTGAGTGTCCGTGAGATGTGTTGGAACAATCCTGTCCATGGAGGCCAAAAGCTGCAACCCAAAGAATCTGCTGTTGCCAAGGTCCTCAAGTCAATATTAACCAGGTGGTTATAATGTTGTGGCCGTTGGTGTTTGTCTAACAAGGCTCAACTAATTAAAAAAGACCCTGTCGTCAATGATTATTTAAATAAAACCAATGAAGTGCAAACATGTGCTCTCTTCAATGTTTAAATGTGTTTTTGCAACTGAATGTTTTTCCATAGCGTTCTCTGTCTTCATTGTGGTTTTATTTTAGTGTATATTTTATTAAACAATTAAAATGTTCTGTCTCATAAGGATAAAGGTCATTTCGAATGTACTATGTGGCATAACTTGCCAAAGATGTAGTGACATATAAATAAAAGCAGCTTGAAATGCTGAGTAATCATGTGCAATTTCTTATACACTTTGGTATGTTTTACATTTAAAACCCAAAATATAAAGTCACACCAGAAGTAATGGACAAACAACATTTCCTTCTGACATGTAGCAGGAAAAGATGTAATATAAATATGGTCTTGTATAATGAAAACACTAAAGTTTACGGTCGGTGCTTCAAAAGGGCCGTTTATGATTAAAGTGGTGCGTTTTGTTACTTTCATCTTAGCCAAGATTTATGTCAGTCTTAAAAATGTTGGCCTTCTGACACCAAACACCAAACGACAGAGGTGGAAGAAGTATTCAAATAGCAGCAGCACACATGTTATGTAAACTGCAAATGTCACATAACTGTAAGAAAAAAAACAGAGGAGTATGAATGGAAATACTGAAGTGCAAGGAAGGCTGGGACAGCCTGTCTTGGATTTGTACTTTTTGCTTAGATTTTTTGTTTATTACTTTAAAAATTAAAATTGCAGCAACACTGACAGGAGATGATCACTTCATTTTTGGTATTTTTAATACTTTTAGAACACTCTGATGATGATGATGATGACACTTCCATACTTTTATATAAGTCAATTTTGATGTGAAGTTTTTCCATCACTGCTTATCTTACGATATATAAAAACTGTATTATCCATCGTAATTGATACAAGAGGGACAGTTAACCTACAAATTTCTAAGCATAAACATGCATGTGATCTCATGCATGACAGATTGACAGGTAACTGAAATCTTAAATAAGGATAAGGGGTAATAAAATAAAGTACAATAAAATAAAATCAGCAGTTAAGTGTAAAGTAGGCAATGTCTGTCTGTAAAATAAGTCGTTCTATCAGAGGCTTTTAAAATGAAGATTCATAGAAAAGGTCTTTGTCATACTTAGTATTTGGCCCTCGTGTTTATTTTTCAGTACCAAGAATCTGTCAGTGACATTTTAAGGGGGGTAATGTCCATTATATCAAGGAAGTGAGAATTTTACAGAAAATTTCAAATGACTTGTTGCTGATATCGCCACAGTGACCGGTGGAAGAAGCTGATAGGTTTATCACAGTTTGACTCCTTGGCACATGTGATGCATTAAAAATGTATTTCCTATTTGATGCAAAGATGTGTTGCATCTCAATAAGAAAAAAAATGTCCACCCTGCCATAGATTTCAGATCCGTGAATGACAAGTTTTTTGCTCTGTTAACATGCGTGTTTTTTTTTTTTATACTTATCATGAGCAAAACAAACAGTCGATGCCATGGCCCAAGATTTCCTTTAAGCTACAGTGTCATGAAAGTTTTAAAAACACAGACTGAGACTTTCAGGGGTTCATACGTAACAAAACTAAGGAATTAATGCCAATTTCCAGGGTGGGGCTTTATTCTACTTCATAGTCAGTTTATGGTTCGAACATGTCAGGCTGAATTACCCCAGTTTTACAACTTGCTATTAGCGTAGCTCTACAGTGTTTGAGCAGAGTTGTAGGTGAGCTGGTGTGCTTGGGCTGCAGGGACTTCATTTCATTCTCAGTTGAATTTGAAAAAAAAAAATTGGAATGTTGTAAAAATAAATAATTAAATAAAATTAAGCTTATTTCCACTAACTGTTTTGGAGTAAATAAACTAGTCCACATGTTAGAAGGTGGCGTTATGTTATGTAAGTCATGACTGTAATAAACAGAATAGAAGAACCAGAAAGACCGGAAACTAAAACAGTTGTCTGCCAGTGGTGAAAAACAAACACGAAGAAGAAAAAGAAACTTTGTCCATCCATGAGAGAAAAATGTAAAGAAGTCTTCAGGAATTATTTTCAGTTGAGAAAGCTGGAATTATTGCTTCATGTCAGCTAATATTAGATATGTTTCATGACTTTCAGAGACAAAAGCAACTAAAGAAGTGAGAACAGCTGGTTAGTCACCTGAGTTAAATGTTCACTATGCCAGAAATTAATCAAAATAAAGTGTTTTCATCTCCCATGAACTCTTAAAAACACACACACACACACCCATCAAGTGACCATCAAACTGTTTTTGCAAAACTGTGGACATATTTTTTCAAATACTCCTATTTCCAAGAGCTTTTATCTGATGTGATACTTTAGAATGTGCATAAAAATACATCATGGAAACACATCTCGTGTGACAGTGCTCAACAACAGGAACTTGAAACTAAAAAAAACTATTGAGCCATCATTCATGATTATTCAGACATGTGCTTTTCCTACTGTGACACATCAAACTGTCAATTCCTTTAAAAAAATATGTTAAGGAAATGCAAAAGATCTGCACATTCAAGAGGAATCAAGGGTTAGGGGCTACATCTAAGTCATTTCAAGGCAGAAAGAGATTAATTTCATGGGAAAAATCTAAATATTAGTTAGTCTTTAGGGGTTTAATCATTGTGTACTGGAAGGTGCAAACAGTTTCAGCTGCACCTTGACTATGTATGCTGTAGTGGTCTGTCACTACATTATTAAATAGCAAACAGCTACTCAATGCAATGATAATAAAGTTGCTAAGTAAAGGTTTAGGGAGTTTGAGAGAAGTTCAAATAGGGTGGGAAAATCGTTGTTTGTATTTGTTCTGTTTTGTCTTGTTTTTTTTGTCATTTTTTTGCATTTCTCTGGTTAAAAATTAAAATTACATCATGGGTTAGGGTTAAGCAGAGGGAGGAGGTGGAGGTGGGCGGGTCTGCGGTGAAACTCGCTCCTGATTGGCTGTCCCCGCTATTCCAGGCAGCGCGAGGTGTTTAAATAGCCAATCACGACGCTGTCTTCAGTATGTGTAGCAGCGACAGCTAAACGAGGTCCTCTCTCGGTGGAAGAACCGCGTCCGAGTGGCAGCTCCAATTCTGCGCTTACCTTACTCACTAAACTCAAGTGCCATGGAGGAATCAAGTAGTTGACGTTTCCTGCTGCAACCTTCTCTTTTCAGCTTTCTTCCACGTCCGATCACTCCCGACCCGGTTTTTATTGACGTTTTGACCTTTCGCGAGCTTTGACCAATCCAAGAACATGAAGTACATCATCGGCATCGGCGGGTGAGTTGAGGCGGATGAATGGCGATGCTAAGCTAGCTAGCTAACCCGGAGCTGCTAGGCCGTAGAAAAAGCCCGGTACACGTGGGGGAGGTCGGTCATGACATCCGCTAAAGTGCTGCTTCCTTTTTGTTTTACTGCTGTGGAAGCAGTTCCCTATTCAGACATGTCAATAGTCAGAGTAGTCTCTGTAAATTGCTAAGCTAATGCTATCTTGTATTTTATAAACAGTTCCTGAGCTAATTATTACAACCGTGTAATAGAGACGAATGAACCCGTCGTGTACATAGCTGACCCACCCTTTTTCACATGATGCACATGGTAGAAAAAAAGCAAATTTATGCTCAAATCTTCTATGTAAAAAGTTGTAAATGCGTTTTTTTGTGTGAAAATCAGTGCCAACAAATTGAATGTGTGGTGTGTTAAGAGTGTTTAACAGTATTTGACCTTATAAACCTTGTAAGGTTGACCTTATAGGTCCTGATAAAATGGAAGTCACAGTTTAAATACACGTAGTTGTATAATGTTTAATCTACCAGCTACACACCCTCATGTGTGGGTTGCCTCATCCTCCATTCATTCACTTTTTTTTTTATTGCTTTGTTCCCTGCAGGGTAACAAATGGAGGGAAAACCACTCTCACCAACCGCCTGATCAAGAACCTGCCCAACTGCTGTGTGGTCCATCAGGATGACTTCTTCAAGGTGAGCCGCTTACACACACACACACATCTTTTTAAATTTGATATAGTTAACCAACGGGATTGCTCTGAGTAACACAAGTTGGTGGGGTGTTCACGCTTTGCCGCTTGTGTTACTAGATTCAGTATGAGCTAGTGTGTTAAAACACCATCAGAGCCTTCCATATAGCAGAGTGTAGTGGAATGTACCTGGGTACATCTTATCAATGTATGTTTCAGCCCCAAGATCAGATTGAAGTTGGTGAAGATGGCTTTAAGCAGTACGATGGTAAGCCTGGGTTTTTAATGAAAGGGTGTGTGCGAGTATGTGTGTGTGCGTGGGAGTTTTGTGTGTTTGCTAAAGCTGTGACGTCGTGTTTAATTTGTAATCTGCATGCAAAATAGACAAAGTTTCCCTGTGAATACTTTTCTGACTTGCCCTCTGCAATTTTCTACACGCTTCTCTTTTTTTTCCCTTCCGTCCTTCCTACCCGCTTCTTTCTCCAGTCATTACTGCTCTGGACATGGACGCCATGATGAGTACGATCTACGCATGGCTGGAGAACCCGGTGAAGTTTGAGAAGTCTCATGGCGTTAATAACACCCTGGATACAGAGATCGTCCCGAAGTCCAACCACAAGGAGGAGGAGGAAACTCACATCCTTATTGTGGAGGGCTTCCTGCTTTACACCTACAGGTAGGACCTTGTCCTTGACTACATTTCGGTTGAGTGATTTTTGTCACCGTAAAGGAAATTACTCTAATTTGTCTCTCTGCGTGCAGACCTTTGATCGACGTGCTGAACCAGCGTTACTTTATTTCCATCCCATATGAAGAATGCAAAAAGAGGAGGTGGTAAGTGTTGGGACACTGTTCTCCACTGATGTTTAGTTTTATCTGCTGTCTTGTTGCCTTTTGTAATTGGTGTTTTGTTCTGCAGCGATAGGAACTACACGGTGCCAGACCCCCCCGGCCTGTTCGACGGCCACGTCTGGCCCATGTATTTGCAACACAAGAACTTCATGGAGGCATCAGGTGTTGATGTTTGTAAGTTAGGATTTATTTTTTTAAAAAGTTTACATTTTTTGAATGCAACTACGGTGTTGTATGAAAAGACGAGTTCATGGTGTTGATTAAGTGTGTGTTTGCTATTACAGTGCAGCTAGATGGAACCAAGTCAAAGGAACAACTGTTCAACTTTGTCTACGGTGACATCCTGAACAACATTCAGAAGACTCTCTAACAAAGGTACAAGATCATTCATTGTAGTTACAAAATAAATCTTTCATCTTAATGTGTATTACTGATTTAATAATTTTATTTTTTATTTTTTTTTGTCTTCCAGGTCATCAGATCGGCTAAAGGAGCATATACTCAACCTGCAAGCAGAAGACCGCCTTGCCTTAAGTTTCTACCTGGCAGCTCATTTAGCTGACTGCTATGCCTTTTTTTCTGTTTTTTTGTAAATGTTTAACTGGCAGCATAAAATGCTGTCATGATTTTATATCGACCATATTTATTGCTTTGTTACAGCCTACACTCAGAGAGTTGATGCATATGTTCACAGGATGGTTGCACTTAGTTGCACATGTCAATAAATGATGCCTCCTGCCAATTTTGTGCCCTTGTGATTACTTTATGGTGATAAAACAATCCCGCTCTAGCTGTTACATGAAGTTAGCACACTTGAACCTTGAACTGAGCCAACATTTGTATAGTGTTGTTTTTTTTTTTTTAACGTGTATATGGTCACTTTTTTAATATTTAGAGCCTTGAATATCTGTTGAGCAGAACAGTGACCAGACAGTTTTCACTATCGCACTCCCAGGCAACAGGTGGTGGAGTGATAAGAGGACTCGCAAGGTCGAACCTCGTGATGACAGGTTTCAAATGAAACAACTTATCTAAATTCACACACACATACTTGGGGCCCATTTCTGTGGAAGGGCTTCCTCCAGAAGAAACAAATTGCATAACATAGAAGGTCACTTTCCTGTTGGAGAGCAACAGTTTTCTGTCAGCCAGATCAGGTTAAATGGTAGGAAAATCCATCATTTACAGGAGGTTACTGGTGGAGTGCAACTTTCTATATGTAGGACATGAGTGGCATATTAGAGCAACATGTCAAGCACATACAGTACATAATGTATGTGACTTTTAATTGGGTTCCCACAAAAACATTAAAAGCCTGTTATAAATGGGTTTGGGCATGTGGTTGCTGTAAATAAGTCCAAGCTGGGCACAGTTTCAAGGCTGAAGCATCACTGGGCACAAACAGACCATCACTTGGAGGAAAAAAAAAAACCCATAGAAATGTATTTGATTCCAACAACACTCATTCTGAGTGACTGTTTTCAGAGCGGTGGTTTTAATCCCATTATTTTTTATCTGTATATAAAATGTGCACTTCGTTTAATTTAGTTTTATGTTGTGGATTCAATACAACAATAAACGTGCGTAGGAAGTGCAACACAAAACAAACCGCAAGTAGCACATAAATCAAATAAAGTGCAAAGCTAAATTGAAGCACAGCACGGAATAAATAGTCTAAAAGTTAAAATAACTTAATGCCATACGAGCTGAGACTGCTGTAGTTGTAACGTGCAGACCAAATGTTAAACTCAAGCCTTTAACTGCTTTGCATTTAGACATTTATACACATGACTGGCTGCCAAATACAGAAACCAATTAGCTATTTTTAAGTTGAAAGATTTACATTTGTGGTAAATACAGATTGCAGTCCTATTTCATGCAATCTGTAAGCTGGCTTTTTAAACTGTAATTGAAAGTTGCATGTATGCCTGCGTCAGAGGCATAAATAGCATTTCCTCACATTAGGAAACATTTATATGTATATAATGAGATGTGTCAGGTAAATATAATGTTCTAGCTGTGCTTCTAAGAGTTAAGAAAAACAGTTTCTAATTGAAATAGTATGAGTCTTTAAAGGTTAGTGCAGTGCCTCAGTGATGGAAGAGGCCTTTGCATTACTTATTATTACACCAATACACTAAAATCTAAGGTCAGCATCCACACAAGTCTAAAACTGTCTCAGTCATGGGTGTGTCAGGTCCCTCTGAGGAGGTGAAATCGGTTTCACTGTGTTCTTTCTCCACTCAAGTGTAAAAATCTAACATTATGTAACGCAACTATAGGAATGTATGGAAGTAGGTCAGAGGCATATGTATGTCCGGGGAAAAAAAGCACTTGGCCTACATATGTGAAGTTTTTTTTCCCCCCCTTTGTGCATGAAGCTGTGCTCTCCATTAGTGCTGAAAAGTTTCTTCTCAACATGTTATGGATTCATTTTGGTTAAAAAAAAAAAAAGATTCTAACCTGTCTTTAAAACAAACAAAATGATATTTTCAGCCTTTGTGGATCGTTTTTCCTTTAAACACTCACTGTTTTCCCTCTGCTCAGCGTGTCATTCGTTGATATTACGCTGCATGCATGCGTGCGTGGAGGTCTGACAGAAAGAGCATGTGTTGTATTATTCACAAGGCACAAAGCAGCTCTTACGGGGTTTTCTCTGCTTCGAGACAGACTATTGACAGATGAGAGTTTCTGCAGCAACAGCACAGACATACACACACACAGAGAACATCTGTGTTGAACCATCTGTTTAATACACTTGTATCAAATGATAGCAGGCACATAAGGTTTTCACAAACCTGCATTTTGAATTCTGTTATATTTCGTAACATCTTTTTGTTATATTTCTGCATTTTGATTGCCTCGGAGAGCTTACTCCACCCGTTTCCTTTCTGGTACATTACAACATACCTGCTCTGTCTGTCCTCACACACATATTCAGTCTGTCTCAACTTCCAATTCTTTTGGTATGGGCTGTGTCTGCTTCACACCACATATATTCATTCATCGCCTCTGAATCACCACCACAGGCTCAACAACATGCACTTTATGACATTTAAACTCCAGAATATTCCCTGCTTGCTTCCGCTCCAGCTTAAGTGAGATGTAGCTCCGCTTTATAGGCTGTTGAGTGAGTCGAGGAGGAGAGAGGAAAAGGGAGAGATTGTGAGGGGGATATCTTATTACAATCTCACCCGTCTTGGGAATTTCCAGCAGCCTTCTTTAGTTTCAAGCAGCACAAACACCACAATACTTCAGCCCATCAGTTTAAAATGCTTTGGCTTGGACCAAACTGTAGGAGGCAGAACTTTGCGTTCATTTTTGCAAAGTTACACAAGGACACATCAATGTTTGAATGTTCTTTGTGAGAGATTCTTGCCCTAGAAGCAGATAGTCCCTGTCCCGTCGTCCTCATGTGGATCAACATTTTCACAGTAACTCATAATGTGCTTAACATCGATGCCAAAATCATTTTGAGATGGTGATAATTTCCGCAAAGGGCAGCGAACTCATTTTAAAATGGGTGTCAGCTCGTGGGTCTAGACTTGAAAGAGATAAGCAGTTATATAACCCTGACTGCTGCCGGCATAGCCTGCCTAGGAAAAAAAAAAAAAAAAAAAAAAAAAAAGGGGAGGGTTTTAGGTGAGGCACAACTGCCTCCTAGCTGGCCTCTGCCTCTGCATCACTTTATCTTTTAGTGGCTTTTTCTGGCACAAGACAGAAATGTGATTGTCAAAGATAAAAAAAGAAGGTAAAAGTTTATTTTTTTCCAGTAAAAAGAGGTTATTGTGGACTCCTCGTCCTCTGTCACCACAGATAATAGAATAGCTCTGTGGCGGTGGCGGACATCATCCTCTGACACCCATATTGCCTCTGGACTACAACAAACCCTGCAGTTTTCTAAACCACACCGACCGCCACACTCAGGGTTATGAGGGTTGCAGCTCTGGCTCTTGCTGGATCTTGTTTTTGTACGTGAGTCAGTTTGTGTAAGCCTGTCTACCCGTCTCGTCCTCTGTCTCCCCTACACACCTCTCTGCAGTGTGTTCAAAAAGCAGAGGAAGCAACAGTCTGCTGCGGTTGACTCAAATAGACCATATAAACAACCCTATAAATCCTCCTTTCAGACCTCTAACTCCATACAGTTAAGGTTTGGATTATCACATCTTCACCTCACACAGGTCAGACGGGACACGGCCGAGCAGACCGCTAACCACCCTGGCAGCAGAGGTGACAGCAGGCCTGCGGCCGCCTGTCTGAAAACAATTTCTTTGTCTCGCTTTGCAAATGCGTCCTTTAACGTATTTCCAACCAAAGAAAAAAAACAAGGCAGAGGGTACATTCACTTAATCAAATCATCCTTTCCCTTCGCCGCAGCTACACTGCTCTTCAAAGCCTCCTTCCCAGCCCACGAGTTTCTCCTATATTTAGAGCTTTTACTGCAGTCTTAGAGGAGCCCATGAAACCAGCCATCCGTGCTATAAAACCTTTAGTGACAATTGGGAGTTGTTGTGCCGACTTGTTTTGAAAGTGCGACCCTTGGCGAGCGCGTTACGGCAGCGAGCGGAGCAGGGTTGAAGCTGCACCTGCAGGGGCTCGAGTGAAAACATCTACTGCGGTTCACCCGCTATGTCTGTGTTTATGCTGAACGGAGCTAGACTTGGGTGAAATTATACCACAGTGCAGACACAACAAGACACTCTGTAGCTCATACATGGCGGTGGGTACTTAAACCGTCCACGCAGCACCGCACTGCTGCAGCACTGGGGTGGTGGAAGAAGCATTCAGATGGTTCACTTGAGTAAAAGTCGCAATAACACGGCGTACAAAAACCAAACATTTATATACAGTGCATTCAGAGTTTGTTTTTTTTAGAGAAGTAGAGTTACATAAGCACAACAAGGTCACTTTTCAGAGCACTTGCATAGGCTGTAGTTTATTATGAAATTGTCTTATTGTGTCAGCTGGCCTGCACAGATTTATCTGAGCCTGTATTTGGGAAATTGTACCACTAAAGTGTAATATTAGTGGCTTAAAGGGATCCTGCTCTGTCACTTCTTTATTTATCTATTTATTTTTTAAATTTGAATGTCCATTTTGGTACTAACTGTACAAAAACACATTAATGAAATATATGCTAGACTTATTCTTACCTGACCGGAGCAAAACAAGGCCACTTTCAAAGCATTTGCAGAGGCTGTAGTTTATTATGAAAGTGGCCTATTGTGTCAGCTGGCCTGTACAGATTTAACTGAACACATATTTGGAAATATCCATACATCTATTATCTATACACCGCTTACTCCTCATTAGGGTCACGGGGGGCTGGAGTCTATCCCAGCTGACTCAGGGCGAAGGCAGGGGACAGCATGTTTTTGGATGGGCTACAAGACGGCTCAGTGGTTAGCATTGTTGCCTCACAGCAAGAAGGTCATCAGACACCCTGATCTTCCTGCGTGGAGTTTGCATGTTCTCTCCATGCAGCGTGGGTTCTCTCTGGGTTCTCCGGCTTCCTCCCACAAGGTCCAAAAACATGTTGAGATAAACTGGTGATTCTAAATTGTCCATAGGTGTGAATGTGAGTGTGCTTGGTTGTCTGTCTCTAAGTGTAGCCCTGTGATAGACTGGTGACCTGTCCAGGGTGTCCCCTGCCTTCGCCCTAAGTCAGCTGGGATAGACTCCAGCCCGACCCTAGTGAGGATTAAGCGGTGTATAGATAATGGATGGATGGATGTTTTTGGACTGTGGGAGGAAGCCGGAGAACCTGGAGAGAACCCACGCTGCACGGGAAGAACATGCAAACTCCACACAGAAAGGACGTCCTAACCAAGACGCAAACTGGGGATTGTCTAGCTGCGAAGTGACGTTGCAAACCACGAGCCACCTTGCAGGCCTATTTGGGAATATGCACCACTAAAACATAATACTAGGTCCTTCAAGGGATTCTGCTGCATCATATTTTCCGTTTCATTCCCATTTTGGTTTTGTACAAACCATACTAAAACACAATAATCAAATATAAGCTTGTGACTGTCCTTCGAAAGGGGCCTTACATCAGTAATCTAGTTTCAGGACCTTTATTATTTCAGTTTTGTGCTGGCAGGCTTTCATGTGCATTAATTTATTTAATCAAATTGTCACAGCCAACATGTCAGCAAGTGATATCTAAGCAGAGAAGCAACTGTACACAATGTACAGAGGAGGAAAACGAGGCCTGCAGCAGCTCATTTTTGCAGATTAATCTGTTAAGTTTAACCCACTTAAATTGTTTTATGCATTATTAGGTTATTTCTTGTGTTGTATTTTATAAAATTTCCATTTGTTTTGTGTGTAAATTCTTCATTTGCAAACCACTACCAAGTGTAACTGTCGGGAAATTGTCGTGTATAATGATGTAGAACATCTCTGTGAAAAACAGCATAACAAGAAAGTGAAGTGAAACAGTAAAAATATCCCAGAGTTTTTATATTTAGCTCATCCAATCAATGTATAAAGTTGAAACAGAGTTACCATGTGAAATTATTGTTTTGGAAAGATGTGGGTGTTACATAGTAAGCTGTTTTGCTAAGATTTCTGCTCTGCACCATCTGTTGAGTCACAGAAACCTAATTACTAATGTTCTCCATGCCCACTTATCCAGACTTGCGTATGTAGAGTTATATAAGCCCCGGCTGAGAAGGAAACTAACCTCCTTCACTGTCACTCTGGTCAAAAACACCACAAAGATACATTTTCCAGAACTTTTGGTCCGACTTTTCACATGGTGCTCAGCGTGCATGAATATTACCACAGCGACCAAATGGTAAAACCTGAGGGCAATAATAATATGATGCAACCGGGCTCAGTGTGGGTTCAAGGACCATATCCTGTTGTGGTGGGTCTGGGAGAGGCCTGGTGCTGCCAGTCTGAAGCGGACCACAGCCTCCCACTCCTCACCCATCTGAATCACTGTTTACTTAGACAGGAAGGCCGCCCGCTACAACATCATCTGCTGCTGCTCCATGTCTGTGACTCGCTTGTGGCTTCGGTGAAACAGGAGGGGGGAAGGTTGTGTTTTCCCTGACGGCCAAGTTTCTAAAAGCAGAGACAAGCTAAAACCAAATGCTTGGAGGCAGCAGGGCCCAGCCTCGGAAACCGCTGCTGTCTACCTCTGAAGCCTCCTACGTTCCCTCCATGTGGAAGAACAGAGCCCCATTGAATCCAAGCATTAAGTAATTGAGAGCAGATCCTGTTAAAGAGTCAGCTGGTCAAATATTACTATTACAGAGTAGGAAAACAAAAACAAAAGCATGCGGTGTGTCGGAATTAAAATTGGTTTAAAGTGAATATGTAGCGATTAATAAACAAAAACAGAAAGTTCAGGAAAAAACAAAGTTCAGGAAAAAGTTCACAAACTGAGACTTTGGGTGAGATTTCTGAAATGTTTTGTGAATGTCTGGACTCACTTGTTATTGGCCAGACTTATATTTATTTAGTTGTGTGGTGTTTTTATACCCCAATAGCTGAAGATTTAAAGTTCATCCAAAGCCTGTCTGGGACACGAAGAAGAACTTTATTCACTCTTAACTGTTATTCTTAAATTTAAATCACCCAAATAAAGCAAATTAATGAGAATTTGCACATTTTATGCTTGTTTTTGGTGAATAAAACGCCCTAAATAATGTTTAAAAAATACCCCATTGAATCACTTCACCCCCAATGTGTTTTTTTCTTTGTTTTCAGACATAACTTGCCTCAAGTAAAATCCTCTTATTCTTTGATTTATCACATTTCCAAACATAACTTCTCTCCCTCTGTGGTCTTCACATCACACTGACCCAGTTTCAGAAAAATGAAGAAAAACAACAGCAACTGGCGTTGCATAAGGCATTCGTATATTCAGCCACTGTGTTTAGGTATACACAGAAAAAAAAGTCAAACAAAAACCCAAAGTTGAGGTACTGAAAAATAACTGAAATGTGGTTTCCACTGCACTGCTTCACTTTCATCAGTGTTGGAAGCATGTTGCCCCTCTCCCTGATCCTGGACCCCTCCATGGCCACACTGTGGTGCAGTTTCCGCTCCAAGAATGACTGGGCGGGGGTGGACCCAGTCATGTTGGTTTTGACTGAGTTTCCTGCTGTAGTAGTAAGTATAAAATTAGAGTTTTATGTGAAATGGAAGGGGGTGGGACGGACACATGGTGGTGTTGGGACACAGAGGAATGTAACCTACTTTTTCTGTCAACAAACTGGTGTTTGCACGACTGGTATGTGACAATAATATATAAAATTTGCGAATAGAGATGAAGTTTGGCGAAAACATCAGTCTAGTTTCTACCAGTGCAGCCGCAATTTAGGGTTTATGTGGGGGATGACTTGGAAACCAACGGGGACAAGAGTGAGTAAACAAAGATCGGTCGTGCTGCTTACAGTCGTTCACCTGGCATCGAATGTAATAAAAGTAATGACAAACCAGAAGGTCATGGGGCTCGTGACGTACATCTTAAGTGTTCAATTGGCGAACGGAAGACAGGGGCTTTTCAGATTGTGTAAGGTGTAAAAGGGGTGAACGCTATAATCGGATCATCTTTGTGGTTGTGAGTGCTCATCAGAAGCAGCACATGGGGCACATCTGGCCTTTGTGGGTCCAGATTTGGTAAATTGAATTAGACTCCGCTGACACCTGGTGGACTCAGATGCTTAATGCAGTTTCTATACGGGAGTCCTGGGGAACTGAAATGAGGAAGGAAGGAACACTCAATGTGACTCTAACGCGCACCCGTTGTATATCGTTCTTTAAAGATCGCTCCATTTAAAATCTATTTTTTCTTTGTTAACATGTTGATATGGTGTTTTTATATGCCGATAGACACATGATGACTGGAATAAGCCTTCAACGCCATGGCTGAGCTTTTCCACCTGAAAACCGAAGTGTACCAATGATGGTCTGGGGGTTTCATATGTAACTAATACAAAGAACCAATTCTGTCAACTTGCAGGATGGGACTTTCCATACATTTTTTCTTCTTCAGATAAATGATATTACAACTTGCCACTGGGTTACTTAAATCATTAGGAGCCTTCTGTTCACCCATCTCTGATTTGCTTAAAATGTTTTTTTTTTTTAAACATAAACTATGGATATTTAAAATTGTATATGTGTAATTTTAGTTAGATATAACATTTACTTTCTGCAAGAAATATTTTTAAAATTTGCCAGTCGGTCCAGTTTCAGCACATTTTTTTGTACATTGAAATTCATGGCTATGTTTAGAGAACCACATCTCAGGAACTATTAAAGACAAAAGCCTTCATCTAATCATGACATTGATTTAGAATAGGACATTTGGACAAACAGATAAAAAAAAAAGTCTAAATATGGGTGAGTTAAATTATTTAAAAAAATAAATTCAAGCCACATCTTTGAGCACACATGACCAAAAAAATAAAAATGATACAGCACAAATCAACGAGTGATATTTCACAATAACTCACAATAATTCACAATATAACTGACTGACAGAGAGGAGCCTTTATGGGGTTAATCAATGACCAGAGAAGAACTATATATGTGTGTGAAAACCTGACATACTCGTCCTTACAAGATGTTGCACTCAAGCAAAAAAGAATTAAAATGCCAGTCAGGGTACTACAAATCACTTTGTGTTGCTTTTATTATTAATTGTACAAACAGTGGAGTTCCAGGCGTCACTAGTGCATAGAAGCCTCTTGATAGGTCCGTTAAACTCATTTACAGATACTGTGTTTGGTACATTTTATCATCCATTATCATGTTATCCATATATATATATTATCTGGAGCCCAGGAATACAGTCAAATTTAGTGCAGAACTATTTGATTTTAAACAACATACCAGTTCTATGACATTCAACACTAACAGGGACGAAGCCCAGGAACAACATATATTAATACTGTATATTTAGCAAAAGACAGCAAACGCACCGATTCTCCCTGGAGGCCATCGTCTGATGGCTGCAAAAGGTATTTGTTCTGTTCTCAGGGAAGTGCACAAATTTGTGTGTCATCAGAGGTTGATAGTGGGAAATACCAGCATTTGATGATTTAGTCCATGTCTTTGGTTTGTGGTGATCTTGGCAACGTCAGAGAGGATCGCATCAGAGGTTCAGCAAGTTTTAGCACATTTACAAATAATCACATATACTGTCTCTAAGGTGAACCATTTTCCAAAGCATAATACTGTTTCGAATAGTTGAATCTACTGATAAAGAATTTTTTTTTTCATAACTGTTTGACGTGCTCAAAATTAAATATTTCAGCCTGTTCCAAGCTTTTTTCTTACTGCAGTGTCACTATAAAGATGAGTGAGCGCTTTTATCGAGGAAACAACAGGAGTCAAGCTACCAGATAACGACAGATTCAGGTTTTTTCTGTGCTAGAAACTGTTATGGATTGATATGAAAGGCTGTAGGTTTTTTTCCACCAAAGCCAGGTCACGGCTCACCTGCTCCTCAGTTAGATCTGCTGCACCTGCGGAGTGGAGCTCAGCTGCAGGCTGTTGGAAATCAGCCTGCATCGAGACTATATAAAGGTTTCCTCTCAGTTGGGGCATGTGGCTCTGGAGGCAGCACCATCAGCTGTCCTTCTTGGGACATGTTGAGTTTGAGTGTCTGAAAATGATAGTTAGGTTATTGTTTCTTTCTTTACTGAATCTGTTGTGTTGTGGGATATACTCTTTTTAGTTATTCTATCCTTCTGATAGACTTAGTGGGCTGTAATTTGGAGAAATACTTCAACCGCTTTTTAGAAAAATGAAGTCCCAACCATCCAGTTTTGTTAGCTCCCCCATTTTCAGACCTTTGTGATCTTGTGTCCTTTTTGGTGAAGGGGAATGTAACAAAACAAAGATGAACCAAATACATAGGGATGCACGATATATCAGCGACCACATCGGTATCAGCTGATATTTGCTGATCGAGATATGCAAACACTTCTTCATTTAAGTGCTTTTAGTTTTTGGATCCTGAGGAAACGCTCTCGCATCTGGTTTGTACGACTACTGTATGTACAGCAAACTGACAATAAACTTGATTTGATTGATTTGATTTGTCTCTACATTTGACATTGCTGCTATTTCACAGATGTTTTCACTTCAACAGTGCTGGACTTGGACGTTAAATATCGTAAAATATGTTTACATTTGTTTTACTTGTGTTACGTAATAAAGAAGACTATGTGGTCTAATTTGGTATGAGCTGCTTTTGAATAGTTTTCACATTCTCACAGTGCTTACTTATACTCATTTTTCGGTGTGAACAAAAACTGAATATCGACATCGGTTATATCGGTTATCGGCAATATCAGGAATCTTAATATCGGATATCAGTATCGGCCAAAAATTTTAATATCGTGCATCACTACAAATATATGATTTGAGCCATCTCAGTTCTTTTTTTTTTTTTTTTTAAACTGTTTCTTACAACACATATGGCAACAGAAACTGTCCTCTGAAACCTTTCAAAGTAGCAAAGTTTTTTCAATATGAAGTAAATGTTGATTGCACAATGCATCGTTTTAGACTGGCTCCCTCTCAGTCTTGTTCAGTAGCTAAAACATGGTAAAGCTGGACTCAGTTTCAATTGTTTGTACCTTGTGAACCTGCCTGATAGGAAAAATCACATCTACCTTTAATGCCTAAACTGTGGTATTATGTAACATTTCCAAGCGAACATGCTGCAGCAGTGAGCTCTGTCCACTGCACAACCATGAAACAATGATCCAAGTTGGACAATAATAAAAGCGCATGGTAATATTCAGGATTACATGTCTCAAGCATGTTTCAAGTAGATCCTTATGTAATAATAAAATGATTGGAGACAGAAGTTGCATTCTTGAAAGTTAATCCTGTTAGAAATCTTAGCTGCATCTCATTTCCTCTCTTTCTGCCCGCCAGCTGTCTGTCAAACTCTCTGCTGTGTTTTGTCAAAAAAAACTGTAAAATCTAAACATGGGAACTTTGGAAAATGGTCAGCATTAATGTGACGTATATTTGATTTATAGTAAATAGACTAAAACACGTAAAACCACCTGGACAGTCTTTTAATACAGCAGACATACTTGGGGGATCCTACGTTCTTTTGGCGGGTTTGGCGATAAGCTGCCTTTCCCTCTCGAGCTCCTTCTCACGTTGCTGCTCCTTCTCCAGCGCCTCCTTCTGCTTTTGTTGCTGCAGCTTCAAAGCTCTTTTCTGAGAAAGAAAAACAGCAGCCAGGATTTAATCAGCATGTGCGCTGCTTAATTTGTTTCCATCCGATAAGTTGCCTGCATCTTAGAGCCCGGCGTCAACCGCTGACTGAGATCAATTATACCTTTAGTTTAGTTGTTTTTTCATGGAGCATTATCATCTCTTTCCTTATGTTCACCAGCTTATTGTGGTAAACCTTCGCCTCTGTAAACTGAAGAAAGCAAACGGGATTAGAAATCGCTCCTGCTGGCTGGAATATTGAGCAATATTGAGTACAAGTGAGATTATAATTAAGCCCAAACATACCAGGGAGTTGAGGTCCACTAAGGTGTTACATTCTCTGAACTTAGTGACTTCTTGGTCCAGTGTGTCCAACAGTATCAGCTGATTTTGTCTGGTGGAGACAAAAATAAAGAGTAGGAAATAAATGTCAGGAAATGCACCTTTACTAATAAACAAAAAAATATGACTTGTGTTTGTGGACAAGGACAGAATATTTATAACCAAAATTTCAAAGTAAAACATGAATACAGACATCTTGTTTAGAAGTGTACCACAGAATTTCCTGTTTGCTAAGTTTGTGCAGCAGTTCTTGTTGTTTTACGTGACCTAACGCATGTAAGTGAATCCCAGTAAGTGAAACCGTTTCTAACCGCTTGCAGACACTCAGCAGCGTCAACCACATCCAGTTCAACGCATGATCACCTGCTTCCCATGTTTCTTTACTGCAGATGTGTGTCAGTGTGTTTGTATGTGCATCACTGCTGTGCAGGCAGTTTGTAAAAGATGTTTAACATATTTTCAATTTAATTCACACACAGCAAAAGACGACTTCTGTGGTGCTTTCTCTTTAGAATCATTCCATTCCAAATCATTTCTAATTTGTGAAATTTTCGAGCATAGAATATACGTTTTAATTATTTGTCTTATAGTTAGAGGACTATTTATTTACGCTCTTAAGTAATATTTTATTTTTGTGGAGTATCTTGTCGTAGCTGCTCAATCAGTTATTCAAGTTAAATGAAAATAACCTTATTCAATTTTTGTAATGAAGTATTACATATTTAAAAAATATTCTATATATTTTATTTTGTATTACTGTGACATGCAAAAACATATTGTTCAGAAAATGTCTCTAGTCATTTTATAATTTTTTTGTTAATGTGAGTTCAGAGATGGGACTCACATTTTACTCATATTTCACCCCATCTATAACCAGATTATTTGATCTACTTGTTCCATATTGTAGATTCTGAATCAATGGCATGATAAGAAATAACAGTGAAATTTCATTCAAACAAATTTCAATGTGTGAAAAAATGTGATAAAAATTGATTTGACGGGTAGAAATTATCTTGGACTATCTTGGAAAATATTTGTTAATCAAGCTAAAATTTCACAAACACCATTTTAAATATCCTTATTTTAGTTATAGTTATATTAAAATGTTCCAAGCAAGTCTGAGACAGTCTAGCAGAAGGCTCCTGATGACATTTAAAGGACAATTTAGAAGGAACTTTGCAGCTCCATAAACCTACTCAGTCCAATTTTATAGCACCCTGGTTATTTCTGGTCATGATTGCTGTTTTATAATTGAATTCATTCCTTGATTAGAGACAAGGACAACTTCCATGACTGATGAGTCCACCCACTGCGTGTTTACATCGCTTAGCTTATCTGTAAAACTTCAAGGACAAACTTATCAATGATTACAATCATAATTGTACTAAACCCACATAAACACGTCACTGTCATTGCATTTAATTATCTCTTCCTGATCTTACCAAAACTCATTCCACGTGTACAGTTTCCTCCCGGAAACAGAACAGATGAAACCGTGCTTAAAATTTTGTGATGACGTGAAAACTGGTGAAAATACTACAGTACCTGTAAAGTGTTTACTTGCTGGTGACCATCAAAAGTCTGTCATGAAACACTCAGAACAATAATACTCACGTGAGCTCCTGAAGGGCTCTTTTAGAGTTTTGTAGATCTGGTAGGTAGTGAGAGAGTAACCCCTCTGTGAGTTTGTCCACTGCTTTCTTATCCACGTACACATTCTCTACAGGCGCGGAGCTCTCCAGATGCTGTGATTCCTGCTCTTCCCACTGGAGATCTGTTGAATATTTAAGAAAAGATGATGCATTTAGTATTGTGTCATGGAAGTCTCAATAAATTAGCTCATTATTGTCTTTTTTTTTTGTGGCCCGATAGCTCCACAACGACTGTAAATAAAGATGAAAGCTGCTCTGAAGACTTACTGAATTACATTGAATTAGTTTTGATGAAAAGAAACACTGGAAAATGTTCATATAATAAGCACAACATAGTAAAAGTTGTTCATCTACCCATTTAAAACTACATTGTTTGAACTTGCATATTGTTGAATTGCTTACAACAGTCGCTTGGAAAATTTCCAGCTTATCTCACCTTATCACGTGTCTCATTGTTGTTGTTCTGAACGTGCAGTCTGACCTGCTGAAGTCACTGATTGACGCTGCAGGAATCCTGGGCCAGAAATCATCTGACAAAGACTATTTGAACTCATGAAACTTAGCTGATACTCTGAACTTTCAACTGTCTCCTACATGTCTGCCAAGTGCTTGTACCTGTTGTTCTAGGTTATTGACGACTTTTCCAGTTATCTTATAGTGTAAGCACTATGTGTAATGTGTAAGCGCTAATGGGATGCTTCAGTCAATGTTAAATACACAACAGTCTGCCAACTCGTGTAGACTCATGACGACCCGCCCTGTTACCTGAGCGACAGCCGCCTTCGTCATAAGAGTGAGTTTACTCATCAGGATCACTACTTTGTCTGTACAAGCAGCTCCGTCTCTGGAGACCTCTCGAAAGTATACAAAGCCGTTGGGGTTTTCTCAACGTGGATTTGGAAAATTCTAACCTTTAGCTAAAAGCCTGTTTTACAAACTGGGCGATGTGAAGATGGAAACATGCTGGCAGATACAGTAAGTACAGAAGTCACGGATGGTTTTAAAAAAAAAAGCTATCAATACATTTAGGAGAGATGAGGAAGGTGCTTGTGACTATTGAGCATGCTATTATAATTGCAGAGTTGGCTGTGTTATGAATAAAGCACTGTTCAAAAGCAATAGAACAAAAATATCCGAGAAAAAAACATTTTAGGGAATGTGAGAGATGTGTTAGTTTGTAATGTCACGCCACCATTATTTATCAAATGTACCTAAGAATTTTAATTAAGGTTGAGACTCCACAGTATCATTAAATATATAAATTCCCTAACTCATTTAAATATTATTCTTAGGACTCTATGATATTATTATCTATTATATTACAGTGCAGATTTACCTGACTAATTTGAACTAGCTAAGTTTGAATGTCTGGCATTTCTGCATTATTAAGCCAAGCTGAATACATCAGAACCTTCTCATATATTTCTTGGACATTATGATGACTTGGACGTTGACATAAATGCTATTTTTTAAGTCATAAGCTGTAATACTATAACTCCACTATGACATGAATGTTGCATCGTTAGAAACATCTTCGACTTGCGTTATGAAAAGTACAAGATCCACTGTTGTTGTGCTTTAATTTGAAGTAATTTTAGGGAAAAAAATTGGTCACCTGGAAGCCATTGGAGCAACCTAGAAACAAAGGATGGTCAGGTACAGAAGAGTAATGCAACTTTTTTTTGTAAATGGTTCAATGGTTGTAAAGGAACCACTGTGATGCAAGAGAAATGCCAATAAATCAGATTCTCGAGATATACAGCGAACATGCTTGTTTGGCAACAAAATCCATCATTTTCACACATTTTTTAAGTTGAGGGGAAATGAAAAAATGACTCTTGTATCTCTCGACATAATGACAATATGATTTTTTTGCACATTACTCATCCATCATTGAACTAAGTGTTGCTATAGCTTAAAAGCTAAACACCCCAAAAAGGGATGTTTATGGATTACTCTTTTGGTGGCTAACAAGTAAATGAGTATGCATATGAAGGGCTGCAGCTGGATTAACTAATCCATAGTGGATTTTAGGTGTAGACAGCAGGTTAAAAACAAGCACACACACCTTCACTTTGTGGAAGTTCACTCTGGGGCGAGGACCCTTCATCTTCCATCCCCTCTACCTCCATGTGCAACGACTCTGCCGACCCAGTCTGCTTTCTTTTTTCCTTTTTCTACCCTGCAGAGAGGCACCAAGAAGTCAGACAGTTACAATATCTGATGTAAATTACCAGTTAAACCTGTGGGCAGTAGGGGATAGTTAGCTTATCCCAGCATCGAGGAAGTCTAGCTAGCTCCATAATGAGTACAGCATGACACACAGTCAGCAGCTCCGCAGTCTGTCAGTTCTCCACCTACTCTTACCTGTTTTAATGTCCGTGTGACGCTGGCTCTAGTTGTGAGGAGTGAATGTTGATACAGACAGAAAACAAACAAGAAGATTTGTTGGATTTTGTCGCTGCGCCTGAAAGAAAAAGAAAAAAAAAGACAACAATGCGTCATGTGACTCCTGCGTCATCATATGACTGCATGCGGGCGAAACCAAACTTGCTAGTGTTCCGTCGGAGAGCAGAGGTGGTGCTAACGGTCCGATGTTTCCACCAGCATTACCATGACAGTTTTTAATCTGAACAGCAACTGACTTTGTACGACTGAAAACTACATCTACTGGTAAGTCCGGCTCGTATTTCCTCTCAAACTAGCACACACACAAGAGGTTGTCCCGTTAGTCGTAAACTGGCCCGACAACATAGCTAACGAGCTAGCTTGTTACTGTTTAGCCAAAGAGGTTGTTTTTAGGAGGAGTGTTGAGCTCAAAGTTTGTCAGCTCACGAGGGAATGTTAGTGACTTAGGCACCTAGCTTTGGCAGAGCAAGTCATCAGCTTGTTAGTGATGTGAATAGATGTATTCAGACCCTGTTGTCGAATCTGCTGAGCTGTATGGGGCGTTAAACGATGCTCTATGTGTGCTTTTGATAGCAGTTCAATTCAGTATGTTCTGTAGTCATGATATCATGTTACCAATGTTGCCAAAGGATCAAGGATGGTGCCATTCTCCTCCAAAAAATTTAGAAGAAAGGAAAAAAAGAATGACAAAGCAGAGGGAAGCCTGTGTGTTTGTGTGCCATATGTGTAATAGTTTGTGTTAAGACAGTTGTCATATTCAGTGATGTTTTATTACGTGCCCCTCTGCTGTGACATGCAGTTAACTCCAGCTTGGCATGCAGATTTAGTTGCTTTCAATTGTTGTCTACTTCACTTTCCTTTATTTGCTTTTCTTCCCCAGGTCCTACGATGGATTAGAAATGCAAACCTACCATGGTACCCTACTGTATAAATGTGAATGATTGCCTTGGAGGACATTGATGTAAAGAACTCAGCTGGATATACCTTGCCCTTGTAAACATCCAAAATGTCAGGTGGGAACCTCTTCAGCAGGGTACGGTCCGCTTTCAGGAGGGAGAGAAGCGACTGGGACCTGAGCGACACAGCTCCCTTTGACTTCTCAGATGAGCTGGTGGAGGAGGAGACGCCCAAATTCAACAAGCTGAAGGTGGTGGTCTCTGGAGAGATGTCGGACTACTCTTCTGGAGCTCCATCCAATGGAGTGGCGGTGAACACGCTGGTGGTGGCGGGTGATGATGACGACTCCCTGCTTGACTCCTCGTCCAGCCTGGGCAGCCCGGGGTTAAATATGGACCCTTGTGACAACTGCACCAAGAAGCGGGAGAAGATCAAACACAAGAAAGTGATGAGGAGGCTTGTCATTGCAGCCTTGCTGTATTTTCTTTTCATGACAGGTGAAATTATAGGTAAGCATGTGCAGCCTGAACCTCAGACTTGACAGTTTTTTTTATCACTACTGGTCAATCAGTGACTTAAACCAATCCAGTGCAGCACATGCACATGCAGTGAAGTGATTATAGTTAAATCATTAACTATTGAAACAATTTTTAGTACTAAACAATAGTAATACTATCTGTGTCAAGGCTGTTATATTTGATTGACTTAACAGGTGTTTGTCCGATCAAAGCCATCACCTGTGTTTCCTGGTTCTATATCAAGATCATAGTTCCTGCAGTTTGTATCAGTCAGGGTGACATGTAGCCACAGGCCCGTATGATTGATTGTATCTGTCCAACCATCTCAGACATGTAGGAACTCTAAAACCTGCCCGACTTGCTTCTTCATGCCAAGCCTTTTACATTGTTGATTTATTTTCTGCTGTTGTTGCAATTGATTATTCTATGGATTAATAATAATCTGCTTAAAAGAGCATTATTTCAGAGGGAAAACCTAAAAATGTTAAATACCAGCCATTTTGTAAATCATTAGATTTACATGTGTGACACTTGTTTGCTGCCCCTACATTTCCCATGTTAGAAGGCTTTTGTTTTCATTATAAGTCAGTGTTTTGTAATAAAACAGTGCTGACCAGCTTGTTAATAGTCTGTGACAGTTACCACTTTTTTAAATTAGATTTTATTCTACTAAAGGCACATTAGATTTTGTACTGTTTTCCACATTTTTGTATTTCAGGTTGTATTTAATAAGTGAATTATAGAAAGCAAATTGAAACACTTATCACTCCAAAAGGCATCTGTCCATTTCCAGTGCCCTACCTAAAAGTCTCACCACATGCTTTGCTGTTGATGGATGCCACGATGGAGTCACAACCATGTTACTTGTGTTTTGTGTCCTAAAATTGGCCTGTACAAATTGCTTTTATAGATCTTCTATTTGTAAGGCGTATGTGATTTTTATTTTTCACTTTGTCTTTTACTTTCAGGTGGGTATGTGTCCAACAGCTTAGCAATCATGACTGATGCTGTGCACATGCTAACGGACGTGGTGGGGATTTTGTTTTCTCTACTGGCTCTCTGGCTCTCCACCAAACCACCCACTAAGAGATTCACCTTCGGGCTGCATCGCCTCGGTGAGTTTCAGGAGCAGTCACACTTCTTCCTGTCACTTCCTTCCACTTCCTTCTTTCTCTTTGCTTCTTCTGTTTTGTGTGATGCAAACAGATGCGGATGAATCACTTTTAAAATTAGAAACTGTGTGTTCAGCAGATCTAAAGAAAGATCAGGTTTCAGAAAGGATAAGTTGGAGCGTTAGAGATTGTTGAAATTTCTGTCAGGAACTGGTAAATTTGACTTTGTGTGTCATCACAATGAACATTTATCATTTCATTTCAAAACAGTGTTACTAGTTTCTATCAATGAAGTTTGGTATCGACATATGAAATAAGCCACAGCATTAACAACACCTGCCTTATATTGTGTATTACCTCAAAACATCTTTGACAAACATAGTCCTCTGCTTTTTAATAAGGTGTATGGTTTCCATGAATATCTTACAGATGTGATTACAATCCACTGCTCTCACACATTCAGTTATAGTTAAGACACAGTTTACAGAAACAAAATAATTTGATATTTTTCAGTATTCTCACTATCCCCTACCTCTCTTCTCTCTATTCTCCTAAGACTTGGATCACTGTCATACTACTTGCAGAGCATACAAATTCTCCCTGTCAAAAGGTTCTTATAAAGCAAGATGAAATAAAAACAAACACCATCAGAGAAAGGAAGTAAAAGGAGGAGAAACAAGTCAGGGTATTAAAGAGAAACAACGTCTTAGTGCATTATTACATTGTAAAACCATAGAAAAATAATGTATGTGTGGGGACAACAAAGCAGTATAAAAATTGGATTATTGGAGGAGCCAAAAATATAATCAGAAACAGTGTGTTTATTGAGTCTGAGGTACAGCTCCATATTGCTGAAGGCTAAGCAAGTGACAGAACAAAGTTTAGATCTTACCAATAAGAGAAATCATACATTGCAATTTAAAAGTAGTTTAGTACATATGGGAAATTTGTTAAATGTAATAACTCCTACATAACTGCTTTTTGCTCGGTTCATCTCACACATTCCTCCTGTTTTAGACTTAGCTGTTTATATATATATATATACACACATACATATATATATTTCTACACAGCCTCTGTTTTTATTGCTCTGAATATGCTTTGTATATATACGACTGATTGTGACTTTCTGGTCTAGAGGTGGTATCAGCGGTCCTCAGTGTGATGCTCATCTACATTCTGACGGCTGTGCTGCTCTATGAGGCGGTTCAGAGGACAGTACACCAAGACTTCAGCATAGATGGAGATGTCATGCTTATCACTGCAGCTGTGGGCGTGGCTGTTAACCTCATGTAAGTGAAAGCTGTCAGTTTAGCAAAACCTCAGAGGACTTTACAAATAAAGAACTGAAGTGCAGACAAGAGAGTAAAGGAAAAAAATGAATGGTTGAATCTAAAGCAAAGTCAAAGCTGCACTTCATAGCCTCCAGTTATATTTTTCGACCACAGTCTGTCGGTAAACATATTGACTGCAGTTTCTGAGTCAGTGAAACCATACTGTCAGCTTGACAAAATATATTTAATGTTTATAATGTAATCTGTTCTCCTTTGTTTTTATTGTGATTTTAGAATGGGTTTCTTGTTAAACCAAGGTGGTCACCTTCACTCGCACGGCCACGGCCACAGCCATGGTCACAGCCATGGTCACTCTCACGGCTCAGCTGCTTCACAGTCAGCTGGTTCAGGTCAGCAGAGGTCACATGGCAGCCTCGCTGTAAGAGCCGCCTTCATCCATGCTTTGGGAGATCTCCTCCAGAGTGTCGGGGTGCTCATAGCAGCCTACATTGTCCGATTCAAGGTACACAGCTTTTTTTTGAAGAATTGTTTTCTGTAATTGGTAACAGTTAACCTCCTGCAGTTGATATCTTTTACCATTTATTTCACTAGATTCAATATTAATTTTACATACAAAGAATTGTCGTGGTAATATAGTGAGCAGTTGATTGAAAGTTAGGTTTCATTGCACAGCACAGTTTGAACAGTTTAGTTCTATTTACATGCTCAGTGTAAGTGTTGACTAAGCTGTCACCCTTGTCTGACTTTAAAACTATGCACTGATGTTTGTCAACCACTGACTCATCATTTGTGAGACATTTAAACTCAAAAATACTGATTTGAATGTTGATGTTGCCATCAATACCTTGCAAAACTAGTGGCTTTATACAATGCAGTTTTTTTATTTGTCAGTGATGTACTGTATGTCTGTGTAATTGTTGGCTATATTTGTGGCTCCTATAACGACAAACTCTTGAATTGAGGTTAACTACTGCTATAACTGCAGTCAGCAACAACAAACACATGCACTAATCATAGTAACTTGTGATAATTGTGGAAATGGAATGGAGGAAATGTAAAATATCTGATTCTGACTTCACAGCCAGAGTTTAAGTTGGCAGACCCCATCTGTACCTACATCTTCTCCGTTCTGGTTCTCTTCACTACATTCCGCATCTTACGAGACACATTAGTGATTGTGCTGGAGGGTGAGTCTTGGCTCTTGTTTCAGAGTCCTCTTAGCCTGTGTTCTTTAGCGTCAGTGACAGCGTGGTGTGCGGTGTGAATACAGTAATGGTGTTGTTTTTATCCCGCTGTATCAGGTGTTCCCAGGCACCTGGACACTCAGCGAATTAAAGAGGACCTCATGAAGCTGGAGGATGTCCAATCAGTCGATGAGCTGAACGTCTGGGCGCTGACAGCTGATAAGAATGCAGCGCTCGTGCATCTCCAGCTCAGTGAGTATTACATAGCTTTATTCCAGTTAATAAGAAATAGAGATTGCATGCAGAAAGTGATAATGTTTTTCATCAGTCATGTACAGATAATGTTGATTTAAAATGTGTGGGATAATCTGGAGTACATTAAGACAGATTACTGGTGTTTTCGCACCAATTTTGAATTTGTAAAGCTACATTTCTGTCTGCAGTTCACACAAAATATCATAATTGCACAGAGAAATACCATTTTTAACTAATTTAAATACCGAAACAGCCAAATCCAATATTAAAAAAACCATTGGCAGTGTGCTGTAGAACACTTTGGCTCGCCATTTATGCAAGATTTTCTCAAACGCATTTAGATAAAGAGTGTCCATGAACTTTTCCACGCATGTCAGTGTTGTAGTTTGAGATTGTTCCCAGCGTTGATTTGGCTCTGTGTTAAATGTCAGTGACCTGTCAGAACAGAAATGTTTGTGTAAAAGTCGTTTTCCATCTGTATTAAGGTCTTCTCTGGAATCTGTTTGTATTTAGCTTTGATCTTTGTTTTAGTAATCCTGCCAACATCAGTCTTCACAGTAGGGATGATGTTCGACGGATGATTTGCTGATACTTGTTGCTGCCAAACATAGCATGTCGGAGGATGCCTGAGACATTCAGTTTTTATCATTGCACAGACTGTTTTTCTTTTTCTTGTCTCAAGAAAGTAGAGTGCCAATTCTGTCTTTTTTGTCTTACTCTGTGCAAATAATTGTATTTTTGCTGCATGTGTAGATTATAGCCAAAAAAAAGGTAAAATCTGTTGTGTCACAACATTTAAATAACCTTTACCAAAGGCACAGTAAAATGTAGAGTATTGAACATGAAGATCCTTGTTTTTGCAAAGTCACATTCATGCATAAAATGGAAATTGTTTACACTTGATATTTATGTCGCTTGTTAAGCAAACTGCAGATTCTACACAAGAGGGAGCTGTTCAGGTGTGGTGAAAACAGTTCTGCTCATACATACCTGCTATGCCCACAGGAAATAAAAGTTAACAGCAACAGATGTGCAGATGCAGACATGTCAGTTTGAACTAAAATATATTTTAGTAAAAAATGCCCGAGATGTTTTATTGGGCTGTTGATGGATTTTATTCTGCCACAGTGTAATGCACTGGAAAAATGAACAGCTGCAAAAAAAGAAATAAAATTGTAGATAATAGTTAAACAGCTTTGTTAGCAGCCCATAAAACAAAAACATTTCAATCTTTTGTGAAGTTTTTTAGTTAATTGGCTGTAACAAAGTTTCAGTGTGTATCTGCTCTCATGTGGTGTCATATCCTGTAAAACATGTTGTATGTTGCATATTTGCTGGGGAAAAACCAGACAATTACACCTACAGTTTGATTTGACCAGCTGCAGAGTGTAAGATGTTAATGATTACTTACATCTACACCTGCACTTAGCTCTACAGCATGGGTTACCATGGTGATCTTGCCAGGTTAAAACAAAGCCACCTTTGTAATAATAAAACCTGTTGATTTAGTCTTTAAATGCCTCACTAACCCATTAATTATGCTTTGGAGCACACCCTTGATTCCCCTCTTTGTGTCTTAGTTCATCATTAAAAAAAGTTCAATAAGACATGTGACAAAATGGAATCATCTGTCCATTGCTTTGTTGTAGCCTGCTGCTGTAGTTTATGATCAATGAGCAGCACAATGTTCAGGACAACTTACAGCACAAAAGCGATGTGACACAAAAAAAAAGAGTGTATATTATCCACACATTCAGTCCTACTCCCAGCTTGGTTTGTATATTGGTGTCACGCCTCTTTTATACATCATGGATGTCGAAAAGACTTCATCACCTGTGCCGTACGTCTTCGCTTGTAGCTCCTCCACCAGGCTGCCTCTGTCCTTGAGACACATTTTAGGAATTGAGACGTCCTTCGCACCAAGATTGAATTTCTGGTCACACAGAGAAAGGCGAAGGAGAAAGGAGACGACAAGGCTAAAATTAGCAAAATGAGATGAGGCTTAGTCTTGATGCACAGCTGAAATATAGAAACCATGCTGGGAGCAGAACTGACAAATGTGTGTACATAATATCAATCAGTCAGACTATGTGTCACACCTTATTTGTATTGCACTATTTTGTGTGTCATGCCTCTTTTACACCTCACAGCACGTCTGTGTTAAATAAAAACTCAAACTACATTGAGTCATCATGAATACTGCCCTGCTCATCTGACAGATCATAAAGTAGGCTGTAACACAACAATGGACAGAAGAGGAGTCGAGGATGTGCAAACTTGGAAATGAGAAGGGGGTTCGTGAAAGTTGTTTGATTTATATTGAAATACATTTTTTGTTTTCACAGCGCCCTCTAGTGACAACAACTGGGAGGACGTGCAGGCGAAGGCCCGACACCTGCTGCTTCACACCTACGGTCTCACCAGGTGCACAGTGCAGGTCCAGACACACAGGCAGAGGGTGGTTCGCAGTTGTGCACAATGTCAGCAGCCCAACGCCTAAAGAGACTTCCACGGTTCATTTTATGAAGCCAGACGGCAGAGAGTTCAATAAGCAGAGGGGCCTGTATGTTGCTCTGCTGAATGCCACAGCCGGAGCCTCATCACATGGATGAATGAGGGGAAAGAGTGGCGCCGAAGGACAGTCCGTGGAAAACCAACAGATGCACATTTCTAATTAAAGGAGCACTACAGCCTCCTGGGACCTTATGCCCTCATGCTTGCAAAGCTTTTGGAGTGGAAGTTGAATGCTTGAGCTGAGCAGAATGGAAAAAAAAAACTTGCCCTTAATTCACCATTAAAGCCTATTCCGACAGGTAACTTTTGTTTTTTGTATTTTACATGTTGATTTATTGCGAATGATGTTTTTTCATCAGATGTAAAATTATAGTTTTTGTTACTAGGTTGAGCTGCATACTAGGATTTTATTATTTTACAAAGGATGTCAGCAAATGAAAAGGTACCTCATGTCATTTGGTAAAAGCTGTGGTCATAGTGCATATAAGCTGTACTCCTCACCACTGGCGGAGGAAGTGAGGACAAAACCTTAATCAGTGTATCCCTTTAGTAGAAATTACATTTCATCAAATGCACTTAATCGTTAATATTCCCCAGCCAAAGGTCTGTTATAAAGCAGATTTTTATAAGAGAGAAAAAAACCTTAGATATTCTTTAAGACGTCTGTTGTGGCTGTACTGACCAACATTTCCAATAACTTGACATTTCTGACACTGGTATTTTATTCTAGCATGTCTCTGAATTAATGGTGGCAAACAGGCAACTGACAATCAAAGTGTGTCTGACTTGGAGTAAGGAGTAAACACTACAGTGGATGGACTGACTTCATTCACTCTATACTCAGCTTTTTTCTCCATATCATAAATTGACCGTGTATTAATGCACACAGCTCTGAGTCATCTTCAGTATTTTAAAGTTGCAGGGTTTTGTTCAAGGGTGAGAAAGTTGAAATTTGCCAATTACAGTGTTTATAGTGTTTTTTTGGGCTTTTTTTTTTTCAAGTGTTATGAGACTGTTGGGGAGGTTTTTGGGTAAACCTTTCCACGTCTCTGATATTAATTGACACGGGAAATCAGGAACTGGATCACTTCTTGTTTGTAATAAAGTGTTCAAACTATTTCTGTCTCACTAATTTGCTTTGAGGGAGCAATTTGAGGCCAGGAAGCAACTCGGCACTTGGTCACGCTCGTGGATGTTTCTCTCATCTCAATTGTCTCAATGCATCATTAAAATATAATGATTGTCACTACAGTACTTCTTGATGTCAACCCAAATTCTAGAAATGAATACAAAAAGTCTGAACAGAATTTGAACTTGTTAGATGTAACTTTGCTATCACTTGTCAACACTAGATGGTGCAGCTCTATTGCGGACATATTCATGAAACCCTTATCTATCCCACCACCTTGCTGCCTTAAAATGTGTGATGCCGTTTGGTTGTAAACATGGTCCTAAACTTTCAGTCCTTTATGTAGATTATTATGTTATGTAGAAATGTAGTTTATTTGCAGCATGAAAATGAAAAACATGCACAGAGATATCCAGCTGAAACTTATGAATTTGTCCTTTTAATATGTGTGTTTGGGAATAGTTATTTAAACAGGCAAAAAAAACACTAAAGAGTAGACACAACTTTGTGATGCAGCAATCCATAACTAAAACATCAATGACTTTAGGCTTTTCACACATAAGGTTAATGTTTGACATATCAAAAGTTTTATTGGCAAAATGGGTAACCTGGGAGTGTCTCATTAGGAGAGTGCATCTATGTGCTATGAAATGATCGTCACTACTGTCCTATGTGATGTTAGTACAAAGTTAAGGAATTAGAAAAGAAGTCTGAGCAGAATTTTAAATCGGTAGATGTAATAATAATATAACTTTATTTGTCTAGCACCTTTAAGAACAACATTTCACAAAGTGCTTTGACAGGTAGAACATAAAGTATCAAGCAGGACAGGGCAAACAGGTAAAAACAAAATAATTAATAAAAAGTGTATGCAAACACATGTATATATATACACTGTAAAAAAAAAAGGACAATATCACACAAGGGGGTTAAGAGAGAAGCTGAAGAGAACATCAAAGATAAAAAAAAATAGGTTAAGATCAGGAGGTTAGAAAGAGGGACTACAAGTAGTAAACATTTTAAAATGGATAAAAGGACAGAGTGATAAAAGAGAAGTAAACGAGAACTTTACTTGAATGCGAGTCTATAAAAGTGGGTTTTAAAAAAGTAACTTTGCGTTTTGTATCACTTGTCAGCGCTAGGTGGTGCACGTTTACAGAGGACATACGAATGAAACACTTTCATACTGAGCCTTTGTTCTAACTGCTGTGAAGCTGCTGTAAAGTCTTAAACTGCTTCATGGACCTTTAGTGGAGAATAAATCCCTTCTTATGCAGAAAAATGTGTTTTATTTGCAGGATGAAAATGAAAAGCAGGTGCACAGATATATGGCTGAAACTGGTGAATTAGTCCTTTTAATATGTGTGTTAAATAGACAAAAACACTGCAGACTAACTCACAACCCTGTCAGCAGCAGGTGGTGCACTTCTATGGAGGACACACAGATGAAACGCTCTATATGCAAAGAAGCTGTCTTAAACTATATGATGGGTGCAGAAACTTGGTTGTAAATAATCCCCTTCTTATGTAGAAAAATGTATTTCATTTGCAGCATGAAGCAAGTGCGCAGATAGATGGCTGAAACTGGTGAATTAGCCCTTTAATATGTGCCTTAATTCGCTTATTAGGCAAAAACAGTAAAGACTAGGTCACAGTTATGCAACACAGCAAACCATATGTAACTGAAGCAGATGATACAAAGGTACAGATTTAAGGCTTTTCACACACAACAAGGTTAATGTTTAAAATATAGATGTATCAAGAGTTTTATCGACAACATGGATAAAGTAGGAGTGTCTCCGTTTCCAGGCAACAGCTGCTTTATCACTGAACTAATGAGCCAAAGGCGGTCAACTCCTCTGTTTGTCTTCCAGAGAAGACTGCTTTCACCTGTGCGCCCTGCCTTTCTTTAAAGCACCATAAAATCCAGTGCTGATTCCTTTCACTCAAGTGTGTAAACCAGTTACAGCAGACTGCATCTTTTTCCACCAATAGTCACAGAGGGTAACTTATTAAGCATTTGAAACGTGCCTCTGATAGCGTATGAGAGGGGAATTCCATCTCTCACTTTTAATGCACTGTTTAAAGCAATTCTGTGTGGTCACATGGTCTGTGGTGTCGTGATGCCTGATATGAAGTCACGTACACCAACACCGACACCACGCACACACATCAATACTATATCCTTCCCCTTCTGTCATTGTTTCCCTAAATAACCTCGCAGCTGCGTGATAGGTGAAGTCAGGTTGTGACTGTAGTATGTACCCTTTGGCCCATGCGGTACATTTGTCTTCTGGGGCACGTCGACGCCTGTCCACACCTTCAGTCTTGTTTACATTCTCCACAGCTGTGAAATATGACTTTAATTTATGTGGCGCTTTATGATAACAGAAAAAAACTGACAGGCGACTGAGAGGAAGGAAGTGTTTTAAAATATGAAGCAGCCCTTGCTGACGTGTTACCCTGCATGTAAGTGAAACCAAATAGAGAAAGGGTTCCCTGATCAGGAAACAATAGCCAGAGTCGGGCTCTTGTTCCCTCAGCACCCTTTGGTCAGAGTTTAATAAGTCATGAGAGGTCCAGTCAGTGCCACAGTGCAGCCAGCAGTCCAGCGGATGTTTTCTGATGTTTTTGCTCTCTTCTGAGCTACGAGATGCAGCTCAGCTAAGAGGATTGTATCTCATTGTGAAACACAATGGGAGTGTTGATGCCCACACAGCCATAAACTAAGCAGATGAGAGCGTCCACCCGTTGCTTTGGATGGCAGTAATTACTTTACAGCCTTCCTCGCTGTTAACACCTCAACATACACGACTCTGCCAGCTACATTCAGAACCAACCCAAATAAAATGCAGTCATTAGACAATGAGGAAGCAAAACAGCCCCTGGTTTGATGACAAAGTTCACTCTCTACTTTGTAAACTGCAGTTCATGAAACAATCATTTCTAAGGAGCCATTTAGTTGCTGTTGTTTCATTCATACTGAGTTGTCAAATACTGTATTAAAGTTGCTCAAATGTGAGAACTTGTTTTGTGGTTGTAATATGATCAAAAGACCCAGAAAAGCTGCTCAATGGATTTTGAGGTGATATTTGTTTTTGGGAAATAATGAATAAGATTTAAGCTACTCTTTGAAATCACTAAAGGTGATGAAGAGGAAGATTGAACAAAAGTTTTGAATGGCTCTGTGCCATTGAGCTGTGCCTATTCCAAGGAACTGGTGTTGATGAAATGAAACAGAGCTATAATGTTACCAATAGATGCCATAAATTCCTCAGACAAAGGCAGGTCTTTCAATTTCTGCACCGGGTCTCTTTTTCGACTTTAAAAAACAAATGGATTATGAGTTTATAAAACCATTGAATCTGTTGTGGAAAACACAATAATAAGCTTATATATTTAGTTATATTTTGAATTATCATCTAGTGCCTAATTTTGAGCTTTCCTTTACATTATCAAAGACATTTCTACCATAAATTGATGCAGAAAAGGCACAAATTAGTGCATAAAACTTCCAGAGAAAGCAGAAAATGAAGTGTTTGATGCACAATATTCAAACAAAGCCTGCACCCATGCACCTGTTCTTGCCGAGTCAAACTGCCCGCAGTGAAATCTGTTTTACAATGTAGTGAGTACATATAAACGCAACTCAATAAAACTGGCTAATTAGCCCATTTGTTCATGCAAAAATGTTCAAGGGATAGTTTGACATTTTCTAATGTCTGTTTACAATATCTTTGAAGCTACAGCTAAGGTTAGCTGAGCTTTTGAGCATTGTCTGTCTGCTATCCTTGCTTTCTTTTCTCTTTGCCCTCGCCCCAACCAGTTGAAGCAAATGAGTGAGCTCCCTGAGTCTGGTTCTGCTGGAGGCGTTTCTCTTCCCGCTGTGCTGCTGGAAGGGACTGATTGGTTTTACTGGGTTTCTCTCTGTCTCAAATCATCAAACTTTTAGCACCAATTCTGGCTACAATTTGCCTGAATTTTATTATAGCTTAAAATATGGATATCTTTTAATAATATTTGTGAAAGTTTACCTTTACAACTTTACAAAATTGTTAAAAAAAATTGCCTCAGCCCACTTTCAGCACATTTTTTGCACGTTGATATTTGAGGCTATGGTTGGACGACAATATCTCAGGAACTATTAAAGACAAAAGCCTGAAATCTTTACAGATATTTCTCCTCATGCTGTTGATTTGGAAGAACCATTTTTTGAAACACCAGAAAATTATGCCATCTAGCAATGTTTTTGTTTTTGGGGTGCAACATGTCGTACTTAAAGTTCAACAAAAATAACTCCTTCAATTTGCAATGAGGCGCTGCAAGGTGGCGCAGTTGGTAGCACTGTTGTCTCGCAACAAGAAGGTCGCCGGTTTCTGTCCTGGTGGGGGCACCGGGATCTTTCTGTGTGGAGTTTGCATGTTCTCTCCATGCAGCGTGAGTTCTCTCCGGGTTCTCCGGCTTCCTCCCACAAGGTCCAAAAACATTTAAGGTTAATTGGTGATTCTAAATTGTCTGTAGGTGTGAATGTGAGTGTGCTTGGTTGTCTGTCTCCATGATAGACTTCGCCCGAAGTCAGCTGGGATAGGCTCCAGCATCCTGCAACCCTAGTGAGGAGTAAGCAGTTTATAGATAATGGATGGATGCATAATTTGTAACCAAGTATTTCACTTTAAATACTATTCCATATGTTTTGTTTTGTATTATTTTAACAAGCAACTGCACATGGTTCAGAAAATATCACTTGCTGACTTTTTCATTTTTTAACTGCCCTATTAATTTTTAGTTTTAAAAAAAAATATTATTATTAACGTGTGCTCAAAAATGGGACGGTTCGTGATGGCTTCAGTTTATCTTCATATTTCAACTCATCCATAATCAGAGATTATGTTGTCTACTTTTTTAATATTGTAGATTGTAGATCAATGACATGAGAAATGACAGAAAATTTCAGATTTTTATTTTTATTAGTTCCTGAGATGTTGTCATCTGAACTCGTCTCAAATTTCCATGCGTGAAAAACCTGCTGAAAGTATTTGATACATCAATCTAAATTTTTACAGCACAGACGCTGTTTCAGACATCTGTAGTTTAGGTTAGAAAAGTTTTAATGAAATCAGGGATGGTTGAGCAGAAGGCCCCCAATGGCTTGAGATGGAATAAACTTAAATTATTGTAAGATCTTGTTTTTACTTTGCAAAGTATCCTGAGGTGACTCATGTTATGAATTAGCATTACATAAATAAAAGGAAACTTGAATCTGGTGTATGATGCATTATTTGAGAACTATTTTCAGTTGGATGAAAACTATTGAGTAATTCGGGAGTTGTACGATTGAATCTCAATAAACTACAGCGTCCATGTTCACTCTAATAGAGAAACATTAATGCTTTGGCTGTTTTTAATTGTTTAACCCCTTTCTAACATGTCATAGCAGAAAAACAGCTGCATTTTAAATGAACTCAATTCAATTCAGCTCCTTCATCTTCAGATTCCTGGTTTTGTTGTCTCCCTGAATACAACGGATCCACCGTTAGTGCTGCTGATAACACCTGCGCTTTTCTCATTTTTGATGAGTCAATATACCTGCTGTGAAAAAGACTAATGAGGGGTTAAAGCACAGAGCATGAAGTGTTGACTGCACAGACAAAACTTTTTGTGTTTACAGGCCAAACTAACAAACTTGTTGGGAGTCAGATGATACTGTAAGAGGAGATGCTAATCAAGGATATTCCTTAAAGAACAGACAACACTCTGAAAGCATGTTGACAACAATAATTTATTGACACTGTACAGTACAATACTTTGCGTTTACATTCTGTATCTTTAATGTTTAGACACTTGTACACTCACATATACAGTTCGGACATCTGGGTTGCTATGACAACCAGCCTCCATGTCAGCATGACATCTGGCCTCTTTGTGAAATAAACCACAACAACCTATTTAATAACACATTCTTTCTTGCTGCAGTCAAAGAAACGCAGATGATGTTTATTCTACTTTTTCTGTTACAGACTTTAAGGCAGTATGAATATCTGTTTCCATGTTTTTCTGATGTCGATGTGGATGGATGTCCTTGAGACGGGTCACCACAGAGCAGGGTAAAACCCCACCAGTTGAGCAGAAGCATTTCCGCACACTGTTTGTCAAAGCATCCTAGTTTGTGCAGAAAGGATTCTGTTAGACTGATGGGGGGCAGGCAGCTTGTCAGACTCTTTATAGGAGATGCCCACCTTGTTTTGTTTTTTTTTTACTTGGTGAGGCGCTTCACCAGCTCCAGCTCCTCCACGGGTTTCCACTGCTGATTGATGGTGATAAGCTGCAGGGAAAAGCCATAAATAAAAAAACAAAAAAAACAAAAGGTTTCACACGACCCATTTGAAAGTGTTACAGCGACTTAAAGCAACAGGTACATTCATTTCTCTGATGTCACAGGACACGACTAGAAGGAATGATGACATTTCGTCCTCAGTGACTCAGCACATTGCAGCTGCCGGCGGGAAGATTCTGCTTGCATTTAAGTGCCGCTAAGAATCAAACTTCATGGGTGGTTGTGGTACAGGTGGAAGAGCGTGTTGTTGTTGTTGTGCAACCCCAAATTGCACCTGATGTGTGTAAACTAGTGTATGAGATGCAATAGTCATAAAGCAGTTTGTAAACCACTAAAGTTAACAGGTGCTATATAAGATGCAGTTTATTGATTAACTTCTATACAAACATCCCAGTGCATTAGAGGTTACCTTTTGGGGTTTTGATGGGTCCACTCTTTCCCATGGTTCTGGGTTTCTGGTCTTATTCAAACTATAAACAGTAAATTAAAATGTCACATTACTATGAAACTTGTGCCCAATTCCCATTCCAGCACAAAAACAAGAAAAGGTGCAATGTAAAGCAGTCTAACAATTAAATAAATACAGTAAACACCATTTTATCGAATGAGAAATAAAAACAAAATACCACTCACATAACATCAGGTTTAGTAAACAGAAAGTAGAGAGCAGCAGAGGTGGCTCCTGTTGCAGCAAAAGCCATGAACCCTATCAGAGGGATCAGCTGGAAAACACACATATGGTTATTTTTTTTAAACATCCAATATAATAATGAAATGCAAGTAATTCCCTGCATTCTAACAATCTAAGTCTCTGCAATACAAAGTAAAAAATGTAAACAGCTTACCTCCTTTTTCTTGCTCAACATTTGGAAAAATCCAGACATTTTTCTAAGTTTTCAAACACCTAAAAGAGCAGTGAAAAGTTATTTCCACTTCGCGATGAATATTCTAAGGTTGAGCATCCAACTGTTGAATCAGAGGACAGCTGTGTGCGACACCTCTCACCTGCTGCTGAGAAATTCTCTTAGAGCAGCGACCCGCGAGCCAGACTGATGTAGGCTGGATGAGAGGTTGTACGAGGTAAAAGGCACGTAGACAGAAGGAGCTTCCTGCACTGAAATGCATCGCTGGGGGGGACAATCAACAGATCCGTTCAATGAGATCAATACATTCTGTGAGCGTGCAGCGCCATCCTGTGGCTGCGTTTCAAAAGTGAAAGTCGTCAGCTGGTAGACGGTATGACAGCCAGACAAGGTCATTTTAAACCCTTCATGATGACAAAAACACACGAGGCAAGACAAGTCAAGTTTTACTGGTTTTATTTCAAACAAGTATTTGAATTCTAATACAGATTATCAATGCATAATCATAGGTTTGGTTGTCATCTGGGAGCTGTTTGATATGTGTTGATCTGCTGAGCAGTGAGAGATGGGCTCATTTTATTTAGGGACCGCAGGAAATGTGTGTGTTCGATGGTTGAAGCCTCCATGTTTTTGTCTAACAGTGCCAAAAGAGCAGCCTGGAAAACAAACAAACAAACAAAAAACATATATCAGACATCTCTATTGTAAGTATTTCTGTGCATCAACACATTTTGTATTTTATTTACCTCTTTACACAGATTTTCCAGGTCAGCTCCAGAGTAAAGCTCAGTGTTTGTCGCCAGCTCCTCCAGACACACATCAGAGCTAACAGGCATCAACTTTGTACACACCTTCAGGATGGCAAGACGAGCCTAGACACACAAAATGAGGTTTAGTTGAAGAGTAGTTAATGCTTATCGTCTTTTATATCACTTTCTTTTAGGACTGCTGTTATACTATAACTTTACATGCCCTTTGGACTGATGACAATTTACCTGCTGCTCAGGTGGCGGGACATAAATGATGTGGTCTAGCCTGCCAGGTCTGAGGAGGGCGCTATCTAAGCAGTCGGGTCTGTTTGTGGCGGCTACAACCATCACATCTTTGTTGCACACTTCCTGGCAGTCCAACTGAGGAAACAAGAGGAAAAAAGGGCACAAATTGGTGATTAAAACAGCTCGTATTGTTAAACTTCAAGCACATTTCCGTGACATCTGACCTCCTCCTGTGGGTGACTCTCCTCCGCTCCTTCAGCCTGGAGGATCTTTTCCGTCCCCCTCCTCTCCAGCGTCTTCAGGCCAACCCCATCCATCTCATTCAGGAGGACAGACAGGAGGCGCGTCTGTACGCTGTTGGGGGTCTGACTGTTTGACCGTGAGCCGATCAGAGAGTCAATTTCATCAAGGAACAGAATACAGGGAGTGCAGGCCCGAGCCTGGCGAAACAGCTGCGTGACAGACAGACGCAGGTGTTTATGGATGAAACATGCAGCAGCACAGAAGCATTATTGTTTGTATGTTACATACTGTGAAATGAAACTACCTGTGCCAAAGCTTTCTCCGAGTCTCCCACATAAGGAGAGTAGAGCTCGGCACCGCTGACAGACAGGAAGGCGCAGTGGGAGGAGGCGGCTGCAGCTTTAACAAGCGTCGTCTTGGCGCAGCCTGGAGGTCCGTAGAGCAGCACACCACGAGGCCGGCTCAGACCGAGACGAACAAACGCCTCAGGGTATCTCATGGGCCACTCGATACTCTTATGTGGAGAAACAAGAGCACAGATGGAGGGAAAGTAAGTTATTTGCAATGAGCTGTCAGTACTTTGTACTTTTTGTTGTATACTTTCTAGAGCTCCAACTACTTAACTTCTGTTTTCACTGTTGATTAATCTATACATTATTTTCTTCATTAATTAATTAGCTATTTATTCTATAAAATGCCAGAAAATGGTGAAAAATGTCCATCAGTGTTTCCCAAAACCTCAGATATTTTGTTTTTGTCCACAAGCCCCAAATATTCAGTTTACTCTCACAAAGGAAAGAAACCAGAAAATACCTACATTCATGAAGCCAGAATCAGAGAATTTAAGCAGTTTTTTCCTTAAACTCAAACTGATTAAGTGATTATTTTAATAGGTGACAAACTAATCGACTAATCCGTACAGTTCAAATAGTTTCAGTGCCGCCATTCATTCAGCTACCTGTCTGAGTTTGAGCTTGACCTCGTCCAGGCCTCCTATCTGCTCCCATGTCACTGGAGAGAGCTCCGTCCTGCCCAGGCTGCTCCTCAGGCAGGAGGGACGCACTGACTTCAAGGCCTCCAGGAAGTGCTTCATACCCATCGCCTGCTCTCCTGAATCCTGCAGACAGCAATGTAGAGGAAATAGTGCAAAGAGCATACACAAAGTCATGTCTTTAACCCTATTGAGAGCTTTGGCATACATTTAAAATTCAGTTGATCTTACTTCATTTCAGCAGAATTACCCACTCAGTATCTAAAGGCTTTCTAGGGAGTCCTTGGTACATTTATTTAAAAATAAAAAATG